CTAGTGATAGTGCTAATGTAAAACTAGAACTAACACTACACCTAGAACTAAAAACATTCAGGGTTAATGTTTTTTATTCTCTTTTTTGTTTTTTTGAGAGAAATGTATCATATTTGAACTAATTTTAAAGGTCTTTTAATAAAGAATGCATCATGAAATAACACCATGAAGTTGTCCATTTGTTTATTATATGACAACTAACTTCAGGTTTAAAATGTCAACCTCAATTTTGACATATTTGTAATCTTCATTAAAAAACCTTTAAAATGAATACCAACACGACACATTTATCTTCAATATTAATGAAGTTATGGTCAATTTCCGGTTAGAAATGTCAACGTCAATTTTGACATATTTGTAATCGTCGTGAAAAAATCCTTTGACAGATGACGTTGACGTCATTTTGATATATTCTTAATTTTTATAAAATGTCTTAAAACTTGTCACAAAAACGAAAATATAATAAAAAAAATCAAAAATTAAGGTTGGTATTAATATTTAAAAATTAAATTGCTATCTTCATTGTTGCTAACTTCGGGTATAATGTTTTTTATTCTAACTTTTTTGGTTTTTAAGATAAGTGCGTCATGTTTGGATTCATTTTAAAGGTTATTTTATAAAGATTACGAATATAATAATAAATTTAAAGTTGACGTTTTGTTGTTTAACGTTAGATTGTGGTATATTTTAATTGAAACAAATGTACAACTAACACTAGATCTAGAAACATTCGTATTTAGCACCACGTCTCTCAAGATGAATGATTCTAGTTCTAGGTCTTGTATTAGTTCTAGTTTTAGTTCAATTAGAATATGCAACATAGTGATATCTTATGTTAACTAGCACTACCTACCACTGTCACTAGAACTAACTATTGAAAAGATGAAAAAAATTTCTGAAACCTTCATGTATGATTCAAAACCTGTTTATAATACATTTATATCCCTTAATACATCCCATAATATAAATATGGCCTTATAAATCAGCAATTAATATGTAAATTTTTTGTATTTTATACTTTTTTTTGCCATAAAGACAGCGTCAATATATATTTTTTACTTTTCATTATGTTCAAAATACATAGTTACATGAATACTTTAACGCTAAATCTTTTCAAATACATAATATAAGGAGATATATTATAGAACCGAAAATTATCATAAATTTTATGATAATACGCCCGCTGGAAGGTTAAAATATAAGTGCCTTTTAACATTTCTTTATGACATCACCCTGTACGTATACATACTTTTCTATTTTGTTAAATTGCGAATACTTAACGTGAATGGTTTTGGTTGAGTATAAAAATTTCCTAAGAAAATGAAAATTGTATTGAACAAATGGGATAGGATGAAACCGCTAGGGGGGAACTTTCTAAGAGGAAATCTTGAATAAATAAGGTATAGCAACGTGAACGTGGAACAGAGCTTGCGGTTTGGCCGACCGCGAGTGCATAACGATAATCCTCCGAAACCGGTAATAGTGCCCTCAGCGGTGGTTTCGCGAAATACGTTTTCAGATAAACGGGTAATCTACGGCAGCGCCCTCACATCCGCCGTATCAGACTCGCAGAAGCTCTTTCCTTGTGAACTTACGAACTTGGACTGTACGGGAAAAAAGACTACGGAAATGCATCTAGATTGTGAAATCTATTTGTTGGGTCACTTAGCATTCATTTAACATTAAAAAAAAATGGTTATCCTTAAAATTAAATGTTTAAAATCATTAATCATTCAATTTATGGGGATGTTCTTTTCGTACGTGTGACACATATGTCATCGTGAGTTCCGATAATGGGTCCGTAACTAAATTACCATCGAAGCCATTAGCGTACTTTTTCTGGTTCCCCTTTCGTTTTGACCTTTTCTTAGCGTGACGGTTGGAGTTCATTCAGCAGGATGATTGATGATTCCAACAGAGAAGAACAACTACCAAATTTTTTATACCCTACGTAAAAATCCCTATTGAGTTATTATCCTATTATATGATTATTCTCCCTCATATAATAGATCAAATTTACGGAACCAATTTTAAGAGTTATTAAAACAAATCGCACGGGACTTTATATTTTCCCTTGTATTCTTGATGGAGGTTGAAGTTTGAGAGGTTGAGAGGGTTTGAATTTCGTTTACGAAGCACTTAAGGATGACTTGATTGGGTAGTATCGATGGTTTTTGGGGCATGATTTCAAAATCTTTTCCTTTAGTTAATATTGCAGCCCAACGTGAAGAACTTTGTTATTATTACCGCTTTATAAATTTATGTAATGGAAGTGATTTGAAGTTCTCTCGGTTTAAACGTTAATTTCGTTCTCGTAAAGTTGCGCGGTGTAGGAAGGAAGTTCGTCCTGAATAATTAAACCGTGTCTACAAAGTTTTATACGCTTGTTGCCACAGTGTGGCCAATCAAAAGCTTTACTAACAAAGCAACCATAGATGTTGTTACGCAAACCGTGCAATCGACGTGTAATTATAATAATTAATTTATTGGTAATTTTCGAATTACGGAAATATTTTATTGAACGGAAATTATAATTCGAAATTGAATGAAGGCTGGTAAATTGTTGTCCTAGTGCGGTACAAAGGACATAGAACCAATTTAGTGACATTAACATATGATTAGATTGCCTGAAGCTCTCTGTCATTGGTCCGACCGTACATTAGGTGTTTACAAATTGATTCGGCCTCCGGATAGTTATTGGATACCATTACGTTACGTACAACCGAATTCCATCAAGCAAATACTAAATACATAAATTTACATCTTGAAAAGACTTGTTTATGTAATCAACAAGTTTTCTAAATTAAGGGGTTGTATTCAATTCCTTTTGCTGTAACATTAGAAGAATATTTCTTGAAGGTCTCATTCAAATTGAATCAAAACGATAAAAGAGTGTTTTTTAATGAAAAGGAAGAGTTCTTATAGTTACTAATACAACATAACTCATAAGTGCAATAGAGATCAGATAAATCAGTTCAAGATCTTCTTCTTTTTCTTCACCGATCTTAGATAGTTGTTGCTTGGACGTTCTCGATGCAGTTCAGAATAACATCTAGATTATTACTTCGTTCCCAATTTCTATTGCTGAATCATTACATTTCAATCAATCGATTAACCCTTTGTGTCCCGACAGTACTTTAAAGTACCGGTAATTTCAAACACTCAACTGTAGTCATCTATTCGGCGCATTTAGAGCTGTTGGTACTTTCTACTATACAAGAAAGAATCTGTATAAAAAACGACACAATTCGCACTACTGTAGGGTTTTTAGGTATATTTAAACTTATTCATCTAGATGTGAGGTTAGAAGATCCAGATCCAGATCATTTTAAAAAGAAAGCATTGAGCTTTAATTTAAAATAAGTCTCATTCCTTAATTTCAATAAACACGGCTTCCAGGAATTTTTAAATTAGCATCTTTTTTGACACTTTTAGGTTATACGAAAATGTAAGTTTTGTTTCAACATTTTTTTTCTCAATATTTTTCCAATCCAACTCAACTATTATTATACATCATTTTAAAGAGAAAGCTTTGAGCTTTAATTTAAAGTAAGTTTAATTCCTTAATTTCAATAAATACGGCTTCCAAGAATTTTTAAATTAGCATCTTTTTTGACACTTTTAGGTTATACGAAAATACAAGTTTAGTTTCAACATTTTTTTTTCTCAATATTTTTCCAATCAAACCCAATAATTATTACACATCATTTTAAAGAGAAAGCTTTGAGCTTTAATTTAAAATAAGTTTTATTCCTTAATTTCAATAAATACGGCTTCCATGAATTTCTAAATTAGCATCTTTTTTGACACTTTTAGGTTATACGAAAATGTAAGTTTTATTTCAACATTTTTTTTCTCAATATTCTTCCAATCCAACCCGACGAATATTATATATCATTCTAAAGAGAAAGCTTTGAGCTTTAATTTAGAATAAGAATCATTCCTTAATTTAAATAAATACGGCTTCCAGGATTTTTTAAATTAGCATCTTTTTGACACTTTTAGGTTATACGAAAATATAAGTTTTGTTTCAACATTTTTTTTCTCAATATTTTTCCAATCCAACCCAACAATTATTATACATCATTTTAAAGAGAAAGCTTTGAGCTTTAATTTAAAATAAGTTTCATTCCTTAATTTCAATAAACACAGCTTCCAGGAATTTTTGAATTAGCATCTTTTTTGACACTTAGATTGACTGAGTGTATTTTGATAGCGTTTGAATTCTGTCTGATTTTGTCACAAAGTTTCAAAATTTTTGACTTCTTGGGACACAAAGGGTTAAAAATCTCAGAACTTGCATTATTTAATTTAGAATCCATCACTTCTAAAACAAATTAAACATGATTTGCTAATTTGAGGTAACGAAATGAACAACAACAATGCCAGTAAGTAATCGATATTTGACTTTACCGAGAAACAGCACGGACTGATTTCGAATTACAGATGTAAATTAGATATCTCAATTCTCATGCATAATGATTTAGAACAGTAGCACTAATTCCGTACTAAATGCGAATACCTCCCAAGTTTGAAGTGTAGTCGAAATACGCTTTGGTTAGTTTGTGTTCTTTGTGTCGACTGAGGCGTTGATTTAACTTAGTGTGTCTACTTTATGTGTGTGTGTATGTGTAAACTTGGAAGTTTCGTTTCAATTATGCTCAACTTCGAGACGTGAAACCTGTAAAGTAAGCAGATGGTTAAACGTTATTTAACGTACTTGCGAACGTAAATTGTCCTTCCTACAGCCGCGTGAAAGTTTAAAATTAAAGAATAATTAATGGAAGAAATTAGATGCCGTGACCCGTTCAAATTAAATCTTGAAACAGCTGCCATCTTCAGCGGTTCAGACTCAACAAGTCTCCCAACAATTACAGTAATTTTAATTAGCTTTCCAAGCAACTACTTCTGAGAGACTTTCTTAGGTTTTCTTTCCCTCGACATACAATTGCTCGTTAAAAATTTAGATTTCATTTAATTTACGTCGTATGCTGTTTCGTTTAAACGTGTCTGTGACAAGTTGCGTTACATTCAAACTCGAAAAACCATTGTTTCGATCTGCATACACCGACAAAATTACCGGCGGCCACGTTGTAGTGATGGATAGTGTCCAATTTATGTGGCGTATCCAAAGTGTTTAATTGTGTTTTGGCCGCAACGTGTACACTTGTTAAGCCACAACTTCCATTTCCAATGTATTGTTCCTTTTTTTTGAATGCGGTTGGAAAAATGTTTGTCTATAAATAAGGATAAAATATTTTTTATCATGCATAATTTATTTGAATATTACGAATTCGGTTGAACAAATTTAAAATAACAAATCTATTAAAATAGATTTATAACAAAGTCCTTAAATGCTTAGACTATTGAACGTAGCAATGTCAACCAAACAATGTATTGCACTCCGAGCACATTAGGAATTCATGCTATGAGCATGCGATGCGTCCGGTCGCTTAGATGTTCTTGGAAATACTGTCACCAAGAATAAAGAACTTATCCTTTTTCACCAGTCCCTCTATTTTACGTTTTACATTTTTCATCTTTATAATCAACATAGATCTACAGCAGATCTCTATGCTGAGTTGCGGGGTTTAATTTATTTTAGAGACAATTAGTATTTGCATATGCATGAGGGTGTTATGAAAATTTCACTCTAATTTGCTTAGAAATTTCACAACAAAGTAGTCCTTTTTTCTTTTATTGGAGTTTTAAAAACAAGACAATTTTAAAGTTGTAAATGTAAACATATCTAAGGAAATGTAACCTAACCAAACGCGAGTTTAGAACTGGCTTCGCGTTTTCGCCGAATTGAATTAGGAAAGTCGCGGATGCGAAAGTTTACTTTTAATAAGGACATCGCGACGCGCCTCTCTCATCGTATAATTACGGGGATGTTTTCATAAGGAGCACGTCTTGTTTAGGTTTGGAACGAACTGGAAACTTGCTCCGCGAAAACCTTCTTAATATCGTGGGAACCAAGTTAGTTATAACTTACCGGTACCAAAAATCGTCTCACTTCCGCCAGCGCGTACGCGATTCGAGCGTGAGCTTCTGCAGGCGTCGCGAAGGCGCTAATTTCCACGTGAAGTTCTTCGCTTAAATGTTGAAATTTAGGGTCCCCGCTTGCACGAAGTTCTTCTTCCTAAAAATGATACAAAAAGGATAAATATTTTCGCATAACTTCTTTTAAATATGAAAAAACAATGGCTCTTTTTGAATATTTGAATAATAATGGACAAATTTAACAATGATGGAGAATTCTTGGCAAGGTACGATTGGTTTGAAAAATTCAAGAAATAGCATAACATGAATAACATTGAACTTGCAGATAGTCATGTAGTATTATGAGTGAGGTGAATATATTCCTTTACAATTTCTTAATTAACCGAAATGCTTTAAAAGAATGGCTGATTATTATAGCATTATATTATTAATGTTACCACTATTAATAATTAACTCTCGCGACATCCAACTGAAGAATTCATCACTTTTATATCAGTGAGCATTATTAAAAATTATGCAAGAGTTCCAAAATAAATATTTACTAATATGGTTGAAAAGAAAAGCACCGAAAACGTGTTGAAGATTAATTGAGGAAAAATTAGTTATAACTTCAACTTGCCACTTCACCAAATCCATTTGTACATAAGTTTTTTATTAAATAAACTCGAAAAAGAGTACCATTTTCAAGATTTAATCAAGAAAATATCCTGAAGTCCATTTACATTCAATATTCATAAGAACTGAAGTTGCTGGTGTGAAACAGCTTTTTGTGTTATTTGTTCGGAAACTTCTGCAGCGAACGGTATGAATCCAAGTAAGTTTAAGGAATAATTCATAGAGAATACGTTAATAACTGAAAAGAAAAGATCGGATTTTAAAAATGTTTTGTCTGGTAATGAAAAAGTTATATTTAAAAAATTGCTGTCAAATAGTTTATCAAATAATACTTCTGGAATTATTTAGTTGTAACATGTAGAAGATTGACGTATTTAAAAATTTTAGTCACAATTTTGGGACTAATACTAAGATACAGTAGGAATACCTGAGATCATTTTAGCAAAAAACATTTCAAAGATTCCGAACAACGCTAAAACAAGAGTCTCAACATCATATCCAGTGTTGCTGCCATTGATGCATGATTTCTTTAAAGTATCAACAAAATCAATTGAATGAATCAATGATACGTAACGTGCAAATTAAAACTAGAACTAACACTATACCTAGAAATAGAAAGTTTCGGGTTTAGCCGTGCGTCTGAAGACCCGAGTGTTAGTTCTAGTTTTACACTAGCACTATTACTATGTAGAACTAATACTATACCTAGAACTAGAATCATTTGGGTTTAGCCGCACGTCTCTAAAGACGGCTAAATCCGAATGATTCTAGTTCTAGGTCTAGTGTTAGTTCTAGTTTTACACTAACATTGTTACTATGTAAAACTAACACCATACCTAGAACTAGAATCATTTGGGTTTAGCCGCACGTCTTTAAAGACGGCTAAACCCAAATGATTCTAGTTCTAGGTATAGTGTTAGTTCTAGTTTTATACTAACACTGTTCTATGTAAAGCAAACATCATACATAGAACTAGAATCGTTTGTGTTTAGCCGTACGTCTTTAAAGACGGCTAAACCCAAATGATTCTAGTTCTAGGTATAGTGTTAGTTCTAGTTTTACACTAGCACTGTTACTATGTAGAACTAACACTATACCTAGAACTAGAATCATTTGGGTTTAGCCGCACGTCTCTAAAGACGGCTAAACCCGAATGATTCTAGTTCTAGGTATTGTGTTAGTTCTAGTGATAGTGCTAGTGTAAAACTAGAACTAACACTATACCTAGAACTAGAAACATTCGGGTTTAGCCGTCTTGAAAGACGTGCGGCTAGATTCACGTCTTAATACGTGAATGTTCTATGATACCTCTGAATGTTCTGTGATAGTGTTACGTTAATTCTAGTGTTAGTTATTATTCAGCACCAAGCTAATATAGGTATATTTTGAAAACTTCGCCTTGTTTTTGAAGAAGCTTATAGTACTAGTGTTAGTTCGAGTTTCAGTTCAATATAATACATTAATTATAACAAAAGTAGTAATAATTATGCAAATAACATTTATTTCCGTATTAAAAACGTGTATACAGGGTGATTCTCAACCTATATGTATAAACTTGGTGATTTATTTCTCGAGACAAATAATAGGTGAAAAAAATTGTAGTAAAACATTTTTAGTTTCATAGGTGTCCGATATATGCGTCGACATCTAGATAAGGTGCTGCCTAGAAGATGGACAGATCGAACCAACCTCAATCGTCTTAATTTTTATTTTTGGGGTTCCATAGTGTACGTCACCGAAATGAATACTGAGCAAAGGTTGCAAAATCAGATACAGTCAGATACTGAGGTTTAGGCAACGCTATCATATCATCTTCAAAGCGTGCAGTCTTTGCATCCAGAAATCATCTTACACAGCAACACCAAACTATCTCATCTGTTTAGAACTGATATCACCATACTTATTTCATCTTCTGCAAAAAACTGTTAACATACATTTGAGTGTGTCGTTTGCTCATGTCTATCTGATTGTAAGAGTTACATGCACAAATGGCAGAAATTTAGTAACGAGATGAAGAATGACATGTACGGATCACACAATATTGAGAGCATCAAAAAGATTCAGGTAAAACTCCGGGGAAAATACGTCAGGCAGGCTTCCTCTGTTTAGTTGATCTAACCAAAATGTTCGACAAAGTAAGGATAAAAGAAGTGCAAACATTACAAAGTATGTGATCTAAACTATGGTTACACTATGAATGATTACAAAATCAAGTTTGAGTGCTATGTAGATGATGTCGTCCTCTTGGCTGATACTAAGGATGGCATACAGTGGTTAACACAGGCATTTAACATTGTCGCTGAGGAAGTTAATACTGAGCAAGGATCAGATACATCATCGTGGAACATCATCGATTCAGCCCAATTGTGTATGGAAAATATTAAAAACAACTTGGAACACTTACTTTGATGTCATTTTAAAATCTTATATGTATTCGTGATTTGAAAGTAAATTTCACGAATATCTAGGAAACTAAAAAGCTTTTTTCATCTATTACACATTATTTGTCATGAGGAATAAATCCCCAAGTTTATGCGTATAGGTTGAGAATCACCCTGTATATATTGTAGCTAGCGCGACAATGTGCGCTTCATTTTGATTTTAGTTTTGTAAGAAAAATATTGTGTTAGGGAAAATTGAGTTGTCTTCTTTATTATAAAATAAATGTTATAGGTAGACACAATAAACTGTTCGAATTTTATAGATTTAGTTTATACGTACAGTTTTACGTTGTCTTTACGATCGAACTCAACGTTCTATAAAGCCGGGTTTGTAAGGTACATTTTACTTTATGATTATAACAAGCGAAGGATACAGCATGCTGATTAGCGGAGGCAAACTTAATTATTACATATACAGGATAAACTTCATCACCGCATCCTGTTTGCAAACTTTGGTTATAGTAAACAACGAGGAAAGATTTAATTAAAATCGATTGTTCTCACCCGTCATTTCTTAAGTCTTACAAGCATACAACCGTCTAATCTTGAGTAGTTGTCATTCTAATGAAATCCGTATTATTTGATTTTTAAAAGTTAAACATTTAAATCTTACCGAGATTTAAATGTTTAACTCTAAGTCAAAGCTTTGCGGATTGTTTGCACTTTGAGTACGGAAATTGTCTGTTCTGTGCTTATTAAATTTTAATTAGCAATCGTTTTCATATTTTCCTTATCTCGTTCTCTCGCGTCCCGAAATGACGAATGAAACTAATTAATTCTTCCTTGATCATGCGCATTTTCATTTTTCATTTTAAGGAGATTTAACGAGCGCCTGCACTTGGCAGCCAACGAAAATCTTAATTACGAGATTTTACTCTAATAGAATCTATCACGTAATTTGAAATTAAATAATTTCAATGCGGATGAATAGATTCACTAATGTTGTATCTCGCAACAAAATTCGTTTTAGGCATTAAAACGTAAATCGTAGCTGACCGGTTGGGCCTCTGCAATCTACCAAATTGATTTTCGACATTTCCCCTTGCTAGGAGGACAAAGGCGGAAATGCGGAATTTCGAAAGGACGGAAATCTCTTAAGTAGATTTCGCGCTACCATAGAGTCGTGTGCTTTAAGCTTTCGTTTCACGAAGAGTGATCCAACGTACTGCGATGTAAATACTGTTTCTCCGTACTGGAAGTGCATCTTCAGGATAACTTTCCAGTATTAAGAGGAAAACAAAATTGCATATTGCGTTTCATTAAATCCAACGCAATATTCTGGTATAACCTTAGAATGTATTAAATTTTTTTGAAACTTTTTACTGTTACGGTTTTTATTTTCACTGGTGGTTTAACTGCTGATGTATATGCGGAAAATTTTAAATAAAGATTTCGCTCGTTGCAACAGCTCTGTATTATTTTCGAACTTCTCTATTTTCTGTTTAACAGGCTTCTAGATAAGCGTTGCGTTAAATTTAGTGCAATTGCTTCTGGGAAAACTGGCAAAGACAATAAATCTCGGAAGCTTTGCCTGTTCTTTTCAAAGCTGCTGCAATTAGCTCCGCTTCGCCGAAGTAATTCGCGATATAAAACGCCCACACGGTAACAACAAAATTAATTATCCCAGAATAAGAATATTTTTAGTCCTATGTGAAATACTAATTAATTTACGTTGATATAACGTAATCGAATATAACATTTTCAGAGTCGCTTTATTAACATTTATTCAACATTTTGCCTGGACATTTCACTTCGTGTAATTGGACTCTTGATTAGTTCTATTTACCGGAAATCCCAATTAACTAGTGCAATTTTCAATTGCATCATTTATGCACATTTATACTCATCCAAACGTGTATAATGTGTATCAGATTACTAAAGGTCACTTGTCTGGTAGTGTAATCTCTTCTACCTAGTTAACTGAATAACATCATTTATTTTATGCTCTATATCACGGCTAACATGATTTAAGTATAAACTTACTTACAATGAGATTACACACTCACGTGGTAATTATTAATTAGTTTTTATAATGAGATCGTAGGTTTGGAATACATCAAAACTTTTTGAAAAGATGAAAACTTTCGAAAACTGGCCGTAATCCAGTTGAAAGTCGGAATCAGATTAATTCAACGAACGTCGAGATGCCGAAACACTAATTTAATTACTACAGCCGCCTGGGAAACTCTAGCACGCCATCTGTGCTGCATTTCATTTATAATTCAACACTCCAAAGAAGAAGTTGGTCCTTAAGAAGAAACACTTGAAACACATTTTATGACACCCCTAAGGGTGATAATCGTAAAACACTGCCGCGCAATTAATTATCGGGGAAAAATGCGTTCCCTCTAAAACGTTAACTTTTAAAGAGAGTTTTAACTATAGGTATATACAAGGGTCGTATTTCGTGCATGTTGGGTCGGTTTACGGGTTTCTTTAATTTATCACAACGACGACGACCGTAATTTATGGCAACCCCTAAGGGGACTAAACGCATCCACCTTCGCAACTGGGCGTATAAATAAAATTAGAATGGTACTTGTACGGTCTTACAACAAGCTTAAGGACCCGTCTAGAGTAAGAGCCCCTGCGTACGTGACAAGAATTCTATGTGTTTCTCGTGTACTATTAGTACGTCAGCACGTGGAAACTTGAAATGGCAAAAAAAAGTAGTTAAAAACACCTTGTTGATGAAAACGTAAGAAATGAAAACAGAAAGAGTTTGAGAGACAAAAATTAATTTGTATAATTAATTAATAAAATTATCTATTCAGTAACTTAGAATTCTTTCCAGTTTAGTAGTTTCCATTTTATGTGTAAAAAATAATAATATAATATGTGAATTCCATGACACATCACATATCTAAACAATTTTAATCCTCTTCAATCATACTTAATAAATATCATCTATATAGTATAACAATAGAAATAAACAAGGAATTACCAAATGAATCAAGCTAAAGTATATTTTTGTAACAAATTGACGTAACTCTCCTGAAGATGCTATGTAAATATAGCGAAACCGGTTGAGAAAAAACAATAAATAAAATCCATTAAAGTGCAAAAAACGAAGTTTTAATTTATACTTTAATAAGGCTCCACGTCTCCTGGAAGACTGTCAGAAATGTGTCAATCATCTATAAGAACTACTTTGTTTTGTATTAACATGGTATCAAGCTTCATGAATTAGATGAAATGTTATACAGGGTGACGCATAAAGAACGGACGTTTTTAAATAACAATATATCGTCACTTGTGCTTCAAAAAAAAATTTATTTTCAGAATAATACTCAAATGATTTGCCATTTTAAAAATTAATGCTTGAAAACAACATCTCTGAGGTGACGGCGGTTTTCAACATACGTTTTCATCTACATAGGTAGGAAGAATTCAGTGATCATCTGTCTATACCGTCTATACCAATAACATCTGTACCGGTTATAGCATACCAAACAGCCACCTTGGGACTATGTAATGACAGTTCTGCCGATTTACCATGTCGTTCACAAGAAAATGAACTTCATCACTCATAAAGAAAATAATGTTATTATTTTGCTCAAGTACCACCTCCATTTCTCGAGCAAAATTTAGGCGCTGTTCATAATTTCTAGGGTTCAATTGTTGCACAATGGCCATTTTGTAGGGATGATGAAAACTTCGATCAATATGCAAAATAAATACGCCTTACTGAACGATTAGTGATACGCAGTTCAGCAGAATGTTTCCTAGCAGATCGAACAGGACTACGGAGTATAGCTTGCCAAACTTTCCACATTTTCTGGATAGATTAAAATACTGCCAGAAAAAAAACATCAATTATCTATGAAAACTGTCCCATTTTGTGTTGTTGTCAGTGTTGTTGCACACAAGAAAATAAATGAACCAAAATTCGTACCGAAAATGAAAAAATGTACTAAATTAAGAGAAAAAATGATTTTTCGGTCAAAAGATCGGAAACGGTGCATTCAAAAGATTTGTGTTAAAAATTTTGTACTGAATTGCTACTCTGACGTACTTTATCCATGAAATCGTACTGAATTTAGTACAGGTGTCCCGTTAGGCGTACGGAGCAGCTGTATCTCTAGAACGGTAATGCCTAGAGGTTTGGGAAAAAAATCCTTATAAGCAAAGTGACCAAGAGAAATAGCTGGAAATTATTTTGAAGTTCGTAATTCGACCGCTAGGGGGCGTAACTGCCATTGAGAAACATAAAGTTTCCGCTATCTCAGAAACTTAGACGATGAGCTATAACTTTGACAACATCATTTAATAGCTTGGATAATACCGCATCGCTTTTGTTTTGCGATATTTCTCATATCTGTCATAATAAGGGAGGGGGAGGCCAATGCGTTTTCATATGTTTACATTTTAATATCTCCTAGACCATTCAACCGATTTGAATGTTTTCGGTGTTGTTTGAAAGAGCATTTTATGCTCTTTTTAAAGATATTTTCAGTAAGACCGTCTGCTTTAAAACAAATGAGCTAGAGGACGTTATCTGCAGCGATTACATATTTTTGTGATTTTTGAAGAAAAGTTAAATGGAACGATACTATTTACTTCACAGACCCTTAGTCACCTTAAAATTTGCTAAATTTTAGTGAAAACCGCATCTCGATATCGCCACCCGTTCTCGAGTTATAGAAGAAAATGTTAAAAACTCGAGTGCCATCAATCGGATCCAGTTACCTCATCGAGAAAAACAAATCACATTACCATGGTAACTGTAAACATGTCATTTACTAACGCAGAAGCGTATGATAGAGCGTATGATGATTTATTTTCAATGTTTCGAATACGATGCAACTGCATGGCAAAAATGTGCAATGCAATTACGACAAAGAAAGACATTTTTCTCTAGAAGTGTTTTTAAGATTGACTTAGCGATTACGGAAAACTGGCAACGTGTAGCCCATTCAGACATCTCTATGAATTCGTAAATCATATTGGTGCGCAATGTGATCCCACATAATCTGGGAACTCCGAAAACAATTGTCCACAAGAGTTCTCAAGAGAATAATATCTCCACCACGTTGTTTTACATCAGGCCTTAACAGATACCGATTATGATAACAGACTGAACTATTACCATTGACTTTTAAATATGATTTGGGCAAATCCAAACCTTTTATCACAAATGCTATGGATGCATGAAGCATCTGTCCACAAGCTGATGTAAACTTGCATAATATGCATTCTTGGTTCGAGCAAAACCCACATTGCTTTCACCCCTTTATCTATTGGGTAGACTAAACGACCTGACTTTTCAAGAAAAACCAATAACCAGGGAAAATATGACAAAACACTAAATACCAGTAGAAACGTGTCCAGGGCCGAGACTTAAACAGCGCTTTTTTTTCGTCGAAACTAGATTAAATAAATGCATCGAGGTTTATGGAAGGCATTTCGCACATTAATGAGTTATTTTTGCCAAAAATTTAAGTTATTCTAAGTGTTTTGGTTTATTTTGTTTTATTATCATTGTTGATGTTTCATTGATCCATTGGCTTTTCAACACGCCTCAAAAGTAGTTTTGAAGCAGTTCTAAGCTTGGATAAAGTGTGAAGGAAGGTTCTAGATAATAAAATTTTTGTTCTCTCTTATTTGTTTCCTAAGGTAACTTGATCCGATTAAGATATACGAATTTTTAACATTTTCTTTTATAATTCGAGAATGGATGGAGATATCAAGATGCGGTTTTCACTAATATTTAGCAAATTTTATGGTGATTAACGGTTTGTGAAGTAAATAGTACCGTTCCATTTAACTTTTTTTCAAAAATCACAAAAATATGTAACCGCTGCAGATAACGCCCTCTAGCTTATTTGTTTTAAACCAAGCGGGCTTACTGAAAATATAGTTTAAAAGGGCATGAAATGCTCTTTCTCTGTAAGCGACCTCTGGCCGAATAGGGTAAAATCATACATTCTATGCTCCAAAACAGCAAGTAAGTACTTCAGTAAGAGACCACATACTGCCAGTAAAATGCCAACTATATACAGAAATTATCCTGTTTTGAACCAAAAATCAGTAACTCAAAGAAGTCTATAGAAGTCAGTCTATAGCGTGGGTCAATGTCAACTAAATAGAATTCTTACTAATAGAAAGAAAAAGTTTCCTAAAAAATTATTGCCAAATAATTGTTTCAATTATTATTTATATATGTGACATAGAATAGAACTAAAAATGAAATGAAGTTAAAGAAATTAAAAATATATTAAATTTCTCATGACATTAAGTACCTTGTGTCTATCTTTCATTGATCCTCTACCAAGTACAGCCATTTTGCACATGGTATCCTCTTGCAGTCTCTTCAGGGAATTACCTTTGGGACCCAACAGCTTTCCAACAAAGTTAAACTGAAAATAAAAGAAACAGATATAAAAGTTAATTCGGAAATAATTTATTTACGAAAACCGTTCATTAAAAAAAAATTTGTAAATACAATTATTTCAATAACAAGATGTTTGTGTACGTTCTTAAAACAGTGGAAAATGTCCCAAGAAGCTAAAATAATGTCAAGCTCCCCGTTCTTGTAAACAACTTTGTTTTCGTACCATTACTAATTAACGTTGAACATAATTTACGTCAAAACCTTACTATAAGCGAACTATGTAAGGAATTATATAGCTAAGTGTATAAGTCAAAAAAATGATAAAAACGATTTGTTTTTTTGATTTTTTTTTCCTATTGTTGAATCGTGCCAATTTGTTTTTCGCTTCGCGTTGATATATCCAAACACCTCTATAGGGTACGTATTGGAACGTAGCGAATACTGCTTTCGACGTTCACAAATCGACTGTCAGAGTCGAGCGAAGCCATTCGTCAAACCGTCGGTCGTAGATTTCAAACGCTAATCAATCTCTGCGGAAAAACCACAAGTTCTCTTCGCGAACTTCTGCTATCGCAACCGCGCCGCCGACGGACGGTGTAAAAGAAGGACTTGGGAGTCATCGATCTTCCGAGCGAGGTTACAAAGCTTGTGGATTCTTCGGGCCTTTACCTACAACAACGCAACGATTTTCTTATGGATGGTTTCGTGTTTTTTATTTTCGCTTTTAATTTTCCAATCAAGGTTAGAATTATCTTTGTCGTGATGAAGACGAATGGATTCGGACTCTGAGCAATCTTTTACACAGGAGATTTTTGGAACGGAATTGAAATAGCGGTTCTTATGATGTATGCGAGTATCCGGAGAGATCTTTGCGCATATAGGTCGAAACGCGAATAAAGATAGTTGTCGGCGGTTTGTGTAATGGTGATATATGCGCCACCTGGAGGTTCCAAGTCTTGAAATTGCTACGGGAATTCGTCATCATTTGCCTAGAATCACTAAAGCCTAGCGCGAGCACAGAATTTTCATATTTTCTTATAAGCATCCAATTTTTACATTACAACATCTTAATGTAGAAAAATAGAAATTAAATCGAGTTAAATATCGGAAAAGGTGATTTATGTTCCCCGGGATAATCGACGCGGAAGTTGGCAGTCTTCGAATTTCAACAAAGAGCTGTACAACGCCTTCTCAGATGGGAGTGTCTAAAGAATGGACCGTCTATGTATCACAATTCGACGTTTCGCCACGTCGATTTTAGCTGGATTTCAGAGTTCATCCAGTGGATGAAGCCCACGATTGACATGACATCTTCACCCGCATCACGCTCTACCGGTCTTCGGGAAAGGTTCCAACTACCTCCTGCATACCAATGTGCTCGAGTTAACTCTTGAACGAAACTTCAACCATTTTCAAGACTTTATAAAACATCACTCTCCAGTTCGATAAGTTTAATAAAAATTTTCGATTAATTTGATTAAAAGGATTGTTAATCCACCCTCCATACAATTTCATTTACGTCGCAAAGTTTTCGCGTAATTAAATAGTTGGTTCGCGAAACTTGAAAATAAACACGTTTCAGTATGCTCGTAGGAATTTGCATATCTACGGGATAAATTGCGAATCTCCAACGAAATTTTCTGGGCGTCCGCGTCGCGTACGCGATTTATCATTGTCGGTGGACCGGGAGAACGCAGGATAAACCGATGGGAACCACGGGAATACCGGGACTCGTACGTACTCCCAAGAATATGCTACCAGGATATTTTATGGACAGCTAGTGTCGGAACGTTAATCATTCTCCGAATTATTGCGAATAGATTACCGGAGCTTAGTATTGACCGGTCCAGTTCGTTTATAAGTTGACCCTTATATTTCAATTGTAGGTCATAACGCGGTGGGAATATTAAATATTCAAATCAATTGAACATTTCTGTATTTAAATTTCTCATCAATGTGAAATAATAAATACCATTTTGTTTATACAGGGTGAATTATTAGTATTCCGGCGTCGATAGTTATTAAACCGTTTGAAAAACAAAAAATATTTTATACAAAAGTTGTTTGACTAATGTAAAATACGTAAAATTATTTTCACTTATTAGCATGTTCTATTTAAGCGTAACGGAGAGTACATAAATTTATTTAAATGGAACACCCTGTATATTTTATCATATTATGAATACAACTAAATTTGTTGATACAACCGTATATGTTACTATTTCACAGTGTTCATAGTACCTGAGATATTCAACTGTTCTTCCAAAATGTGCCCATTATAGGATTACAGGAAGGATTACAGGAAACTACGTCAGACAATAGTCAAAGCTAGATGATAGTATTCAAAGATATTAGATACAATATACAGGGTGTTTAAAAAGCTCACTTACTTAGGATGTTATTCAAATGGCTTTTTCTTAAGTTTTTGAAATGGAACACCCTATATGTTGTGTGCTAGTTAATTGTGAAATAATGTGAAACTCAATAAGTTTTCTTTAATTAATGATAAGTATGTCATATGTCTAACTTTAATAGTTTTCCTGATATTTAGAATTTAAAGAAAAATGTGTAATAAAATATCATTATTGTACTTAAAAAACTGATATAGTAGACACCACGAGAGCTGGCAGTAAATCATCGTTTTCCGCTCTTACAAATGCCATACGTAGTTCACAAACCGCTAGAGAGTAATGTGTGTTAGAAAGAGATAGCATTAATTTAATATGTCTGCTGTACAATTCAAATGGCCACGTCGAAAAAGTACGTCTGTTCTTCTAAGGGATGTAACTCTATAATTATAACCTCAAATCGAAACGTCTTGTCAGCGTTGTCATGAATCTGTTAGTGTTTTCACAACCCGAAAATGTTCTTTGAAGGAAATTCATTAAATAATATCTTTGACAATGTTTGACATATAACCTCCATTACTAACATAACCTACATTTAAATGTATATGGTGAAATAATCTAAGTCGTACGTCCATATCTTGATTCATACCATTTTTAAGCGATCTGTCACTGCCAGCTCTCGTGGTTTCTACTATAGAATGTAAATATATTTTGTCCTTTTTTTGTCACTTTTTTGTTTGTCTGTCATTTGTATATCAGTAAATGGCAGAACAATAAATCTCTTTTAAATTACTAAATTATTTGAATGAAATGCAGTAACTATAAACAATTACTAAACGTTGCTCAACAAGTAGGTATTAATTTAATTAATACTTAGAAGTTGTTCAAAATGCCGCCCATTTTCTCTTCTACAAGATTAATGCGCTGTATAAAAGATCTTGAGGTATCTCTTAACATGTGCATTCTCTAAAGTCATAAATTATATGGCAGAATAATTGCATATTTTATTACTTATATCTTTTTAAATCTCATAAAGTTCCAAGTAGCATTAAAATCTGGTATATGGCAGCAAAATTATTTTACATTATAAAATATTAATCAAATAATAAAAGGAAGAACAAAAGAAAACTGATGAAAAAGACAGAATATAATTATTAAGTACAATAACGCATATTTTATTGCACATTATTCTTTAAATTCTAAATATCAGGAAAACCATTAAAGTTAGACATATGACATACTTATCATTAATTAAAGGTAACTTGATGGGCAATTCAACCAGCATACAATATACAGGATGTTCCATTTAAAAACTTATGAAAAAGCCATTTGAAAAACATCAAAAGTAACTAAGCTTTATGAACACGCTGTATAGCGTATCTAATATCTTTGGATACTATCATTTACCTACTGGCTTTGACTATTATCTGACTTAATTTCAATGCAAAATTGGGAAAAATGTCGTTTTTACATCGTTTTTAAAAAGATTCTGTAATGGACACATTTTGGAAAAACAATTGAATATCTCAGGAACTATGAACGCTATGAGTTAGTAACATATACGTTTGTATTATAGAAACAAATTTAATTCTATTCATAATATAATAAAATATACAGGGTGTTCCATTTAAAAAATCTACATACTCTCCGTTACGCCTCAATGGAACACCCTGTATAAGGGAAAATAATTTTACTTTTAATTAATTTTTAACTTGTATATAAATTGAATTTTTTTTAAATTTGAAATAATGATACGAATAAATAATAATAATGATAAAAATTTCATTCATTTAATAATAATCGAAATAATGATGATGTGAAATGAAATAGCGATCAAGTTAATTAAGCAATAAATCTGAATGACATACCAATCTCGAGGAATTGCATCAAAACCGACACGAATTTAGTTCAGATGAATGAACTGAACGAGAGATTTATTTCATTACACATTAATCTGGAAATTATGGTGGAATTTCCTCCTAATTTAATGATTTAACGAGTTGAATGTGAATAATATTAGTGAATGAAAACGTCGCTGTGTGTTTTAAATTATGACAAAATTGACCCTTTTAAGAGAAAGATTTTGAATTCACATAAAATACAACATGTTAATATAATTTGACATTACAGTAAAACCTTGATATAACGGATCAATACGAGGAATGCAGTGTTCGTTATAGTTCAATAAAAATAAATAACAATCTAGCGCTTAATAACAAATAAAACTAAACTAACATTAGACCTAGAACTAGAAACATTCTGTTTAGCTAAATGTTTCTAGTTGTAGGTCTAATATTAGTTCTAGTGATAGTGGTAGGTAGCGCTAGTTAGCATAAGATATCATTATTTTGCATATTTTTATTGCACTAAAACTAGAAGTAACACTAGACGTAGAACTAGAATCATTCGGGTTTAGCCGTCTTGAGAGACGTGCGGCTAAATCCGAATGATTCTAGTTTTAGGTCTTGTGTTAGTTCTAGTGACAGTGATAGGTAGCGCTAGTTACCAAAAGATATCACTATGTTGCATAATATTATTGCACTAANGAATTTCATTTTACACCGTTAAAAACCATAAATTCACCCGGTATAGGTCCTCTATAAAACAATTTCGATAGGAATTTGCGATCACGTAATTACACAAAAAAATGTGAAGTAATATACGTCTAATGTTTTGCACAAAATTTTATAGTAATATTCTTCTTTAAAGTCCTAATTTATATGAAAAGAAAATGAGTATGAATTTAAATAAAGTACTGCTTGCGTAGTACTACTTCCGGTTGACGAATTTAATTCAAATTTTGACACAACATTACCCTTTTGGTCTTATAATCATATGCCAAGTTTCATAAAGCTAGCTAATTGCTAACACCAAAATAATATTTTCGATCGGGTTTTCTTACCGCTCGGACCACTGTGCGCTGTGTTCATTATAGTTCAATAAAAATAGATAACAATCTAGCGCTTAATAACAAATAAAACTAAACTAACATTAGACCTAGAACTAGAAACATTCTGTTTAGCTAAATGTTTCTAGTTGTAGGTCTAATATTAGTTCTAGTGATAGTGGTAGGTAGCGCTAGTTAGCATAAGATATCATTATTTTGCATATTTTTATTGCACTAACACTAGAAGTAACACTAGACGTAGAACTAGAATCATTCGGGTTTAGCCGTCTTGAGAGACGTGCGGCTAAATCCGAATGATTCTAGTTTTAGGTATAATGTTAGTTCTAGTGACAGTGATAGGTAGCGCTAGTTAGCAAAAGATATCACTATGTTGCATATTTTTATTGCACTAAAACTAGAACCAACACTAGACCTAGGACTAACACAAGACCTAGAACTAGAATCATTCGAATTTAGCCGTTTTGAGAGACGTGCGGCTAAATCCGAATGTTTCTAGTTCTAGGTCTAATGTTAGTTCTAGTGACAATGATAGGTAGCGCTAGTTAGCATAAGATATCATTATGTTGCATCTTTTTATTGCATTAAAACTAGAACTAACACTAGACCTAGAATTAGAAACATTCAGAAAGATACTTTCTAGTTCTAGGTCTAGTGTTAGTTCTAGTTTTACACTAGCACTATCACTAGAACTAACACAAGACCTAGAACTAGAATCATTCGGATTTAACCGTCTTGAGAGACGTGCAGCCAAATTCGAATATTTCTAGTTCTTGGTCTAGTGTTAGTTTTACGCTAGAACTAATACAAGACCTAGAACTAGAATCATTCAGATTTAGCCATCTTATGAGACGTGCGGCTAAATCCGAANTAGTGATAGTGGTAGGTAGCGCTAGTTAGCATAAGATATCATTATTTTGCATATTTTTATTGCACTAAAACTAGAAGTAACACTAGACGTAGAACTAGAATCATTCGGGTTTAGCCGTCTTGAGAGACGTGCGGCTAAATCCGAATGATTCTAGTTTTAGGTCTAATGTTAGTTCTAGTGACAGTGATAGGTAGCGCTAGTTACCAAAAGATATCACTATGTTGCATATTATTATTGCACTAAAACTAGAACCAACACTAGACCTAGGACTAACACAAGACCTAGAACTAGAATCATTCGAATTTAGCCGTCTTGAGAGACGTGCGGCTAAATCCGAATGTTTCTAGTTCTAGGTCTAGTGTTAGTTTTACGCTAGAACTAATACAAGACCTAGAACTAGAATCATTCAGATTTAGCCATCTTATGAGACGTGCGGCTAAATCCGAATGTTTCTAGTTCTAGGTCTAATGTTAGTTCTAGTGCAAAATTCGAACTAACACTAGATCGAGAACTATAAATCTTCAGATTTAGCCGCACGTCTCTCAAGACAGCTAAATCCGAATGATTCTAGTTCTAAGTCTTATGTTAGTTCGAGTTTTGGGACAATGCAAGTGCACGGTAGTTTCGTAACTCTAGTTACTGCATTCATATATTGTGAGGTATATGAAATTCCCAGTGTAATTTTAAATGATAATATTATAGAAAGCAATGAAAATTTAATGAGAAGTAATAATCCCTCTTGTTATCGTGATATGAATAGTATCCGAATACGTCGTCTAAAAAGAGAAATCTGTTTTTGAGAAAAGCCGATTCGATGACGGGATACAGAACCGTGTAAGGCGATGTATGAATCGGTTGAAATGTGCTTTTTAGACTTCGTGAAACTCAATATCATCGTGCCAGCTATCCTTTTACATTAAAGGGAATATTTTGTTGAAATAGACGCAAATAGAATTCTTAATGGTTATGTATTGTCCACCTGAAACTTTAAGGTGGATGAATTACTTTAAGAGGTTTGTATATTTTCATTTACTATAATGTTTTATGTCGGTTTAATGTCAGAATAAATTTTTTTTCTGATTCTTTAAACATGTTTATTTCAATATTGAGAGGTGAAGCGTGTTTTACTGTCAAAACTGAATTTAATTAAACGTTATATCATTTCCGGAAATTGTTCATTTTCACGAGAGAAATAGAAACTTTGCCACTTTGTATATAAATAGAAATTTCATATGTAAATAAATCTAAAAATTAAACATTACCTTTGGATGATCTCTCACTGGAACCACAACGCGAACAGCAACTTTTATTGGTTTATCTCTGGTGATGTCAACCATTCTTCTTTGTTCTCCTTTATTTTCTGAAATCAAATTAAACAAAAAAAACTTTTTAGTATACATAAAATAGTATTACTCGTAATTATCATTATTATTATTAATAATAACATAACATTCACTAATGGAAAAGTTTAAGTAGTAAATCCCCGAATTTAACGAGACTTCATTCGACCATCAAGTAATTAATAAGTTACGATCTAATAAAACATCCCCAAAAGCTTAAACGTGTACTTTGATAGCAATTTATATTCAACCAAAAAGGAGTTCAACCCAGACGATATTTTATCGTGATTGTCTATAAACTAAGACCGCGTTGAAAATGTGATCCTCATCTCGTATTGCCAAATAGGACGATAATGAAAGATTCTGGGTGGTATAAACTATGCTATTAGCTCGTAAAATCCGTGTTTATGCACGAGCTCGTTGTTATATCAACCACGTTTATCGAAACCAAGAGGGGTAAAAGGATATACTTTGATGGTATCTGAAGATGACGACAGTTGGGAGAAGTCATTTATGATGGAATCAAAGACAAAGATAAAGAAAAGAAAAAGTTTTATAGTTTATTCCGATATAAGGGGTGAATATACAACAAAAGAATTTAAGGTTTATCGAAGAGAAACCTGGGAAGAATATAAAATTTTTGTATTTATATTTGGGGTATAAAAAAGAGCAATAAATACTTATAGGGTGAAAAAACCGAGCATAATGAAATAAAAAAATAAAAAAGAATGAAGTAAAAACATGTACAAACTATAAAATAATTAAATTTTAAAACCCTATTTCAATTTTATTTTATTTTATTTTACATTTGTTTGTCTTTCGAAATTAAACTTTGTTAGTTCAGGTTGCAATATAATTTGTTATCCAGTGTTAATTTGTGGTTGTTTTCAAGAATAACAATTTTATACTATAAACAATAATAAACGACGTATAATGTAATTAATATGTAAATGTATACTAACTTAAAATGTGTTCACAAACTGCATCCATATTAAAATTACCGCGAATAAATCTCATATATTAAAAGAACAGCCATAAAAACATATTGAATTTTTATGATAAATCATAATATTTACGTATATTACTAAAAACTCATAAACCTATCTATTGTTACAAAACCAATAACATTTCCGCCGTGAATATAAACCACTAAACATTGATTAAGCCCATTGTATCCGCATACAAAGGCCGATACGGCGTCGTTTAATGGGTCCTATTTCGAATTACGCCTCCAAATTAAATTTTAAACCCATCGTTAGCTACTTGTGATGCCTCATTTATATTCCTTCTGTTATTCAATCGAAACTTTAGCGTTGTTTCTTTTTTACGCAGCAATAAAATTAAAATTTGAAACACATTAGTGAAGTTAAATGAACCGAGGTGTTGCGAGGGAAAATAAAAAACGAACTGAATGTAAGTTTTTAAAAATGCCGTGTCGACGGCAAAAGTGTATTAAAAGTTTTGGTGGCGGTGCACGTTGCTGTGTCGCGCCTTGAAATTAAATTAGAGTACACCCTATTTCATATTTATCGACGAGGGTGATGTGTCCCGTGCCGGTAAAATTACGTGATGTGGTTAAATATTACGGGACTTTAAAAGTTTTCTAATATAGCAGGTTAAAATCTCTCTTTATACAGATCGTTTCAATCTTATATTACAGAACATAAATAATTAGGTTATTTTAAATTGAAGAGATATCGTCTATATTCGATATTGTATAAAATTAATTTAAAATCTCGTTGAATAACTTAATCTTGTGCAAGATGAGTGGACGTTGGAAAATGTAATTTACACCGAGCGAAAAATTAAGATCATTTTACGACGACAGAGCATTCCCTCGAGCCGATTAAAACTATCCTATTCCTGGGATCTACGCCCTCTTTCCTGCGGGGGTATTCACCATGAAATGGGATTTCGATTGGAGCGGGGCACTCCATTTGTCCTCCCCAATGTCTACGGTGGATGGTTGCCGACCCTTCAGGGTATTTGAAAATATAAATTCCAAGAGAAAACGGCGCACCGTTCACCGGACCGGAAATGGAAAGAGGTAAATCCTGCGAAGAAGGGTATGAAAATATTTTCCTAAGCTATTGTGGTTGCCAATCCTTGAAAAATTTTCTTTTTCGCAATAGGATTAGTTTAGCTTTCTATATTTATTATTTTTACTTTGTAGATTTTACTTTGTACCTAAAGTAGAACAACATGTGTAGGATAAACATCTCGGATCCTTCAGCAACTGCGTCGTAAACGGTGCAAAGTCTCTCGCTTATACAATGAAGGAATTTCAATTTCGCCCAGACTGCGACTAAGAGGCTAATTCGGGTTAGATTCAAATGAGGAAAGCACAAAGGCGTTGGTAATTAGGGTAACAGGTTAGTTTTGGCGATCGTTATTGCACTGGCGAGTGCCACAAAGCTGCAACGAACAGGCGTTTCTATCGATCGAACGTTCACTGAAATTACATTGCATCGTTATTGTTGTTTAACGACCACCGGCGAACGTTCACAGATACTTTGCTTTTTTTTCGTCTCCGTCTAATTTTCAATTGAAAATGATTATAAAAAATTCGCAAATTTTAAAAACATAAAGATAAGTTTTATAATATATGCAAATTGAACAAATAAATTGTTTTTTACTCAAAGGTTTATTTTTTTGTGTTATTTTTCTTTACAACCTCCCACGTCCTTCTATTCAATTCCAAACGGGAATAAAAGCAACAGTTTTATGTCCGACCCGTAAGGTACGTGCGCCAATGGGTATAGCAATTGAATACCGAACTGAAAACTGCGCAAATAGCCGAGCTATGTTGGGGTTGTTACGACGACATCTGTTGCTTATTGCTGAAACGATTTGGAGTAAGTAAATCTTGTGTACTCAACACAGTGAATTTACAAATCCTTTTCTGAAGGAGTTTTAAATATTTGCTTTGCGTTTTATTGACCGGCAACAGTTCGCATAATATCTAGGTATGTCAAATGTAATTCTTTTAATCCGTATACTATTTAATTGCGTCTTTAAACGCACGGCTAAACCCGATACTTTCTAGTTCTAGGTCTAGTGTTAGTTCTAGTTTTACACTATCACTAAAACTAACACAAGACCTAGAACTAGAATCATTCGGGTTTAGCCATCTTGAGAGACGATCAGCTAAACCCGAATGTTTCTAGTTCTCGCTCTAGTGTTAGTTCTAGTTTTGCACTACAACTAACACTAGAACTAGAATCATTCGGGTTTAGCCGTCTTGAGAGACG